TGACCGTGCTTTTTTGTCGCCACCATGACAATGCACGTCAATGCTTTTTGTTTTGCTAAACCGTGTTTTCTTGTATATAAATATATAGGATCCTTGTTAATAAGATTCAATAAAGGTTGAGATTCAATAAATGTTCATATAACTCATAAAAGGGTCAAGATTGTGCCATATGGGGGGGGATTTGGCATGTTGCATTTGTCAAATCGTCGAAATAAGCTTGGTGACCTCAACTTTTTTGTCTGTTTTTATTATGAGGATATCATAAACTTCACCCCTGGGAAGTTTCCGCAAATTCTCATTCCCAGAACAATATTGATGAATCACCTAGAATCTTATTTTTATAATGTCCTTTAGATGAGTGCAAAGATTTGATGTTGATTGAGAAAAACCAGTTGGCTTCTGCAGCATGGAAGCTCACAGGTGAAGATGAGAAGCAAGTGTTCAAGAGTTCATCAGATGACCTCGAATCATGACTGTTGGCAAAAACATGAAGCACAGCCAGGAGGAAAAACCTTTAATTTTGCCTGTTTATACCGAAGCAGAAGAAAGGTTTTGGTTATTCTATGCTATCACTAAGCCAACTTAAATACAGCAAACAGGACCACTTACAAAGATTACTGGTTGGACCTTAGTCCTAGTAACTGAAGGTTACAAAGTCCTGCATTCCAAACAAGTGACTTTACTGGGGAAAAACATTCGTACAATGCATGGTCCCATGTATTTCACACTGACTGAAACCTTAGCCCAGACAAGTTACAACCTTCCACTAGGAAATAGGCAAGCCATTGAAAAAGCTCCTGGAATGCTTAGTTAAGTAGCTTAAGTTTGGAGTAGTAATGTAAATAGATTTTCCTATACACTGTAAAAAAATTGTACAATATACGTCTTATTGTAATCGCTTATTATGCTCACGATTCATGAGAATGAAGCTTCCAGACCAATAACGTACTCGTGATGTAATTATCGAAAATATGTATTAGTGGATGTTAGTGTATTAATGAAAACGTAGACCAGTGGTAGAAAGCATTTTTAAGTAACGAAAGCTGTTTGTCATTGATATGAAATACCAAAATCAGCATAAATTAAAGAGTTTTGGATTAATAGATCATGGATATGACATTCCTAAATCAATGTTAAAGAATGTTAGATCATATATTAAATGCCTAGACAAATGTCAAAGTTTGCTAGATCACTATCACTATTAGGTCCTTCCAAAGTTTGAACTTTAGAAAATAGATAATAAGCGACTACAATAAAACGTATATTGTACAATTTTTTACAGTGTATAGGAAAATCTATTTACATTACTACTCCTTTGCTTAAGCTACTTAACTAGGCATTCCAGGAGCTTTTTCAATGGCTTGCCTATTTCCTACTTGTCTGGGCTAAGGTTTCAGTCAGTGTGAAATACATGGGACCATGCATTGTACGAATGTTTTTCCCCAGTAAAGTCACTTGTTTGGAATGCAGGACTTTGTAACCTTCAGTTAGTAGGACTAAGGTCCAACCAGTAATCTTTGTAAGTGGTCCTGTTTGCTGTATTTAAGTTGGCTTAGTGATAGCATAGAATAACCAAAACCTTTCTTCTGCTTCGGTATAAACAGGCAAAATTAAAGGTTTTTCCTCCTGGCTGTGCTTCATGTTTTTGCCAACAGCCATGATTCGAGGTCATCTGATGAACTCTTGAACACTTGCTTCTCATCTTCACCTGTGAGCTTCCATGCTGCAGAAGCCAACTGGTTTTTCTCAATCAACATCAAATCTTTGCACTCATCTAAAGGACATTATAAAAATAAGATTCTAGGTGATTCATCAATATTGTTCTGGGAATGAGAATTTGCGGAAACTTCCCAGGGGTGAAGTTTATGATATCCTCATAATAAAAACAGACAAAAAAGTTGAGGTCACCAAGCTCATTCCGACGATTTGACAAATGCAACATGCCAAATCCCCCCCCCCAATATGGCACAATCTTCACCCTTTTATGAGTTATATGAACAATTGGTCAACCTTTATTGAATCTTATTAACAAGGATCCTATATATTTATATACAAGAAAACACGGTTTAGCAAAACAAAAAGCATTGACGTGCATTGTCATGGTGGCGACAAAAAAGCACGGTCAGAGACCTTCTTAAAGAAATACAACATGCAACATGATGTGGTTTAGTGTTAGTTGCACAGGAGCCCTAGCCAGAGTTCTATCATTTTTGAAGATATATTTCCTGAAGCACACAATATCAATGCAGAGTGATTTTGTCTTTGCTCTTACTCTTATTTTATCACTTTGTTATGAGATATGTAGCATAAAAGAACAGAATACAAAACTGATGAATCACCACATGGTTATATTTCATGGGTGAATATTTGCATTTTATTGCTTCACCAAGACAATGTTAGTAAGCCTAGGGTGAACCACTGAACCAGGTAGAGCTTTTTGCTATCCGGCCAGAATATCCAGTCGGATATGTTTGATATATAAGCTAGGTTTGAGCTTTCAATTCATTTAAGGTAAAACAATGGTTTCAATTGACTATAAAATGGCTCGATTGTTTATACTATTTTGACTCAAACACATGGATATTTACTTCATTAATATGTTGTTTAACAATAGTCAATCTTCTTATTCTAACATTTGCATGCTCTCTGTTTCATGACTGAAAGTGTCTGACTGTCTGGCAGCAGACAAAGTAACATATGACCATATGACTCAGTTCCAGCTGGAACTTTCTTCCAGTTCCGGCCAGATCCAGTTCCAGCCGGAACTTAAAAAAATGGTTTCTGGTGCACCCCTACAGGTCTAGCCTAGGAAGGCACTTGATCGTGTGTGCATGCCTATTAACTCATTAAGCCGCAATGCGTCCAAGTGCACCCTACTTTTTTTGCTTGTCTAATGCCAATGGGGAAGCTCTGCACTTTAAGGGGTTAACCAAAAAATCTGACAATGTCTCTAGTTATTATGCACCTATCAATGTTAACCCCCAAAGGGGGGGGGGGGGTTCCGGGCATATGTGGGGTATTTGATTATCAATTCCATCCCCACCCTGGGGATTTTGATTAGCATTTTGGCCCCGAGTTGGGGCAATTTGAACCGAATGACTGTTATTAACATAGTATTTATTGCAATTTATTGCAAGATGGTGGGGCATTTGACCAATATTTATTGCCCGACGGTGGGGAATTTGATTGGAAATTTGTTCAAAAAATCAAATGCCCCACCTATGCCCCCCGCCCCTCTGGGGCTTAACATTGATAGGTGCATTAAACCCATTGAGACGTCATGTGCCCCAGTGCCCCTACTTTTTTTTATTTGTTTAACGCCAGACAATTTCACTCATGAATGGGGAAACATGCATGTTACAGTAAGTTCAGACAGTCAACTAGGCATGTAATAACAATATACGAAGTAGACTATCGCTTAAGTAGGTGCATAGAAAATAGTGCCTTGAATGCACAGTAGCTGCACTATTGATCAAGTATCTTGGTTTTCATCCAAGCAAGGCCTGATACTAGTTTATATTAGTATATATTTGTATGTCATCTAGTGTCTTTAATAGTAAATAGTCAACATTAACATCACTATGATATCTATATTTACCTTTATAACTTGACAGTGGCGTAACGTTATATCAGGGGCCCCCTGTTCAAAAATTTTCGAAGGCCCCCTAGTAGAAGTGCCAAAGGCACGAGTTAAGCGCCGTATATGCACGAGTTTTCTAGGGGTTCGGGCATTCTCACCCGGAAAATTTTTGAATCTAGACTCTCTGAAATGCCATTTCCCAGACTTTGGGGAGAGATTTTATAGAATTCTGACGGTCAGAAAACGACATTGTGACATATCAGAGGCCTCCCTGACCAATGTTTTTGCTCTACAGACGGAGCATTGGGGCCCCCATTTGGCCCATTGGGGTTGGGGGCCCCCGGGTTCGCCCGGTCCGAGCCCATAGTAGTTACGCCACTGTAACTTGAGTCGTTGTTGCCAGTTTCTGCTACAGCGCTTTCGATCATTTCGCGATAATTTAGAGCAATACCGACCATTCCACGGCCGTAAAACCTTTCCAAAATATCTCTCTGGTTGTCGCTTATACAGAATCGCAAATAGACTATAAAATCTGCTAGAAATGTTTTCAAATATGGCAGCTCAAAGCTCGAGAAGAACGTGTGATAGAAACACGATTGTGATTGGTTTATATATAATGATATGCGAAAGCGTCAGCTTCAGGTAGTAGACTAGACGAAAAATTCAAGAAGTCGATTATTTAAAGTGCATGAGGCATTTCTTAGTAAAAGTTGGCGACAAATGTCTTCTTATGTAGTTTTTGACGTTGAATCCGAATTTCATGGTCGCCAACTCTGATTTTGCGTTTGGATCAAGATAATGACGTCATATTAATGACGTCATGAGATTGACACTAGAAATGACGCTATCTTACTTGGTCGTGTCTATTTCGAAATTGCAAACGCTATTTTCTCTTTTGCGAGTTGTTAAAAAAGCTAATAGACCAGAAATAAGCATAAAGTTTACGAATAACACGAAATAGCCGATTAAATCAATTAAATAAACAAATAATTTGAGTAAAAGCAGACTTTAATTTTACGGCGAGAAATGAAAGCTGATGAAACCGAATGATTTCTTTTAGTCTTTAAGAGTTTTGAACTTCTGGCGATCGTGGCATAAGTATATTTGAAAACAGAACTGGAAATAGTTTTTGAAAAAATAATATTTAAAAAAATTACAATCCAGACAAACAAGCGTCTGAAGTATAGTAGAGAATGGGTTCGTAGACTAGATGTTGGCGCCGTCTTGGCGGCGCCTGTCTGATATATTTGTAAAATGTATTAAAAGCTTTGCATTTTCTTCTTGATTTAATATATTTAACCGTTAGGGGACAATATAAATTTGCGAAGTCTGTTTTCTTAATTGCATTGGAAAAATTGGTTCAGTTTTGCTGTTATTGTTTGTTGCGGATCTTGTGGTCTTCAACTTTCGAGCCGCAAAGATGGATCCCGTTTTAACGTTAAAAAGATCTTCACAAATCGACGTAAATGCTTGTATTTTCTGCCATACCAGTCTTAAAGATGAACATTTGAGAGCCGCTACTGATTATAGCAGAACGGTAGTTCGCGATGCCATGAATTTGCGGAGCAAGTTTACAGCTGTTGGGAACAGGGAAACAATCAGTAGGCTGGAAGAAGTCATAAATAGTATTGATACTTCAAGCGTTTGGCATGTTAAATGCTATTTCCTATTTACAAGCAAAGACAAAATTCAGCGCCTGGAGAAAAAGTGCAACAAAGATGAGGCGTCTGCAATACCAACCTCAATTACGCGTAAAACGCGTGCGCAAACAGAACAAGTTGATTGGGATAAATGTGCTTTCTGTCAGGTTCATACGAATGAACGCTTATAGTCAGTTATGACATTTAAGATGAGTGAACAAATTATTGAGATTTCTAAGTTTGACAAAATACTGTGCACTCGATTTGCGGGTGTCTCAGATTTGATAGCCGCTGAAGCCAAGTACCATTTATCATGCTTCAGTGCATCTAAAAGATCAAGGGATAAGATCAAGGGATAAGACAAAGAGTGAAATGAAAGACAATGATTTAGCATTGGTTTGGTTGTCCAAAGAATTGGAGTATGCTGCTGACAAGGGCCATGTTATTAGACTTGATGACGCATGGGAAAGATACACTATATTAGCCGAAAAAGCGGGCAACACGCTTCCCTCTTCTTTTATCAGTCGATGCGCGACTTTTAAGGACAAACTTGTGCATATGGTTGGAGACATCATAGAGTGCGTGCAATCATTTGAAAGGGGGCCGTCTGAGCGTCATACCTTGCTAATTCCCAAAAAGTGCGCTAAAATGGCTCTGTCCCAGTTAGTAGCCCAGGGTACGGCTGACGAAGAAGACGATGAACTAACTCTGCCTGTTTATCACCAACAAGACGATTTCCTCTCTCTTGTTCATGTGGCGTTGATGATACGAGCTGATGTGCGGCAGACCCAGGTTACAAGGGACTCGACATAGGCATGCACGATGTCGGTGACTGTGTTCCCGAAAGTCTGCAAATGTTTCTAAATCTTTTGTTTGGAGGTGAACGACTTTTAGATGAGGAAACAATCGAAGAAAAAGAAAATGAAGTTCGCAGTAAAGCGCTTGCCGTTGCTCAAGATATTATGTACGGGGTAAGCAACGGTAAGAAATGGACACCTAAGCACATTGGCTTAGGGAGCACCCTTCACCAAGTCACAAGATCGAAAGATCTAGTTAAACTTTTTCACAAGGCAGGACATATTCTGAGTTATGACCAAATTCTTCAACTTGACACGGGTTTAGCCGAGAGTGTTTTAAACAGTTTGGATGAAAAAAGCGGAACCGTGATCCCGCCAAATTTGGTGCAAGGTAATTTCGTACACTTCTCTGCTGATAACATTGATATTTTGGATGAAACGCTGGACGGTAAGAACACGTTTCATGCCACACAAATAGCTGCATGGCAACGTGGGGCAGAAAATTCGTCGTTACTTCACGGTGTAAATCCATCCAAAAAGCGAAGTTTGGATATTCCAGAATCGATGGACAAGATTGAAACGATTGTGGCAAGAAAAAGCAATCCTGTCTTCTTTAAAGCAGTTAAGACGACGTGGTATGACCAAGCTGAAGATAAGAAAGAATGTAAACAAGCTGCCAAAGCTACTGATTTGGCATTCAATATGCTACGAAGCGAAGGTGTGATCAGAAGCGGATGGACGGAGTTTAACTAGTCGCTATCACGGGGAGAATTTGGCGACAAGTTCGGGCATGAAGTAACAAAGGTAGGGTACATGCCAATCATACAAGCACCCGCGCACGAAATGCATACCTTGAACACGGTCGTTAAGAAATGCATGCATGTGGCCACCGTGCTTGGACAACAGTACACTATTATCACCGTAGATCAGGCACTGTACTGCAAATTAGTCGAGTTGAAATGGGCAATTCCAGAATATCGATAGAAACTTGTCGGGCAACTCGGCGGTCTCCATATTTCTATGTGTTTTCTTAAGACCATTGGAGATCATATGAAGGGACCAGGCCTTGTTGACTCGTGGATAGAAAGTGGTCTCCTAGGACCAAATGCGGCTGAGACTGTGATGAACGGCAAGGCGTATAAGAGAGCAATGCGTGCGCATATGATACTCAAGTTTTGCAAAACGATCAATGTTGATCTTGCACTGCAGATTTCGCGTCTTTTATCGTCAGAGCAGAATGTTGATGATTTGATTACATGTTTGAAGTCGCCACAATTTCAAACGGTGTTCGACGAGTTCTTAACGCAGAAGTGTCAGGAAAATGTCAATTTTCAGTTCTGGTGGAGCTATATGGAGATGATATTTATCCTACTCGATTTTACCCGTGCGCAGCGGGAGGGAGATTGGGAGTTGTATCTAGACAGCTTCCGTGCCATGCTTCCATACTTTTTCAGGTACGACCACCTGAATTATGCCAAGTGGGGGTCGGTATTTATCGCCGAGATGGAACAATTGCCGTATGAAGTGTTACAGGAGTTTAAGAAGGGTAACTTTGTTGTAAAGTGGAAAGAGGGCGCTTTCAATGAAGTAAGCGCTGACCACAGCCTCGAGTGGTTGAACGGCATTGGTAAACGAGGAGGTGGAATTGTTGGTATAACTAAGACATCTTCAGCCTTGAGCAGGTGCGTTAACGGTTTTAATAAATACATTTTATATTCAATTCCTTATTTCAAGTGTCCAAATAATGCTAAATTGGGCGCAAACATGCAGCCTTAATCGGCCAGTTACTTATTTGGATAAAAGATTATTTGTGTAGTACAAAACCGGTTTGAGACCGATACTCACGTGTGCACTATTTAATAAAGTGTCAAAATACGGAACAATTTGTAAAATATATACAATAATACCTACAATTATATATTTACCAAATGGTGTAAAATTTATTATTTTTTGCTTCCAAGGTGGGCTCTTTCTTATAATTTGCGGTCGGAGATTGCTGAGAAAACTCATGAGATGTTTGGCCTAGTTCAAGAGGATACGTATTGTCACAACGAATCTGCGCCTGCAAGGATTGTTCGCGACAATAAGGATGAAGAATCACTCATTTCCGTCTTCGAGCAGCATGATGTGTTTTCACCAACATCCCATCCAGAATGTCTTTTCAGCATCGCTACGAAAGATTTGGCCACCTTCGAGATTCAAGAATCACTGTTAGGCGCGAAAGATATGGGACAGAAACAAGTTAAAGACTTTGTACAGCAAAGGTTGACTGAACCACTTCAACAGCAACCTAATAACGAGCAAGGGGATACCAAGGTTCAATTTACGGATACAATGCACAAGAACAATGCTCTTACTTTCGATTCGTTGTATCAAGTCGCCAAAGGGGGCAAAGAGAAAGAAAAGAACACGATTTTACGGGCTGACAGGAGTGTTTTACAGCGTCTTATCGTTGCTTACGGAGCTGGTCGAGAAGTAGATTTACATAATGTTTTGTCGCATGAGCTAATGTCCGTACCCATATCATTAGCGGATACGAATGGTAAACTTAGAACTGGCCAGAAAGCAGCGCTGGCTGATGTTCTCACCAGGGGAATTGAATGTCCGAGTGCTATTGATTTGCAAGGAAGTGCATGTTTACTGATTGACGGCATGGCGTTAGTAGCAGCAGTAGGAAAACCTGCTGACGCTCAAACCTTCGGAGCCTATGCAGATAGATTCCAAGATGCCGTATTGGTAGCAGGTTCGCGGTATCAGCAAATTCACGTACTATTCGACAGGTACGAGAAGAGTTCAATCAAAGCAGGCACGAGAGAACGCCGTACCAGGACTATTCGCCCCGTTCGTCGTGTAATTGAGAACAAGAATGTCCCACTTCCGAACAGCTGGTCAAATTTCTTAGCTTTACCGGAAAACAAGGCAAACTTGGCCAAATTTCTGTCCGAACATTTAATTGCAAATGCACCTCAAGAGAAAGTCATTGTTGTTGCAGGTGGATTTTCCGACGGAAAAGAAGCGCAATCGTCAAGCCAATTGGTTGATCCTTCTCTTTTGTGCGCAGATCACGAAGAAGCTGATACAAGACTGGTTCTACATGCTATCGTCAACAGTTGTGACACGGTTGTTGTGTCTGCCAGAGATACTGACGTACTGTTACTTCTTGTGGCGCATTTGCCAAGTATGCCTTCTCCAAATGTGTGGATGATGGCAGGAACAGCGGCCAGGCGCAAGTTTTTTAACATCTGGGCGATAAGCGAGAATCTTCCCGCGGGATCACTATCAGCGCTCCTCCCTTTCCATGCGCTGACTGGTTGTGACACAACGTCATATATCTCCAACCACTCCAAAGTGTCAGCGTGGAAGACATTTGAAGACAAACATTACCTTCTAGCGTCGCTAGGTGAAGGAGAACTATCGGCCAACAAAGTCAGGGATGCCGAAAAGTTCATCTGTGCGATTTACAACTGCGGGCACATGGAATCAGTGAATGATGCGCGAGTTCTTCTCTTTTCGAAGACAAAGAAACCTGAAGCGTTGCCTCCGACCAAGGACGCACTGGAATTGCATATCAAGCGCGTGCACTATCAATCACTCGTGTGGAAACAAGCTTCATGCCAGGATACTATCCTGCCAAACCCGGACGGAATGGGATGGAAGAGAGAAAGCGAAGGCGGCAGTAAACTCGTCCCTCTCCTTATGACAAAGGAACCCATTCCGAACGCATGCAAGGAAATTATATCCTGCTCTTGTAAAAGTGGCTGCACGACATTACGCTGTGGCTGCAAGAAAGCAAAGTTGTTTTGTACTGGCGTCTGCGGCTGCTCTGTGGACGAAAAAATTTCCTGCAAGAACAAATGCGATAATTATAAGTGAACAGAACAGTGAGGTATGATCAGAATTTAGAATACGCGCTAAGTATATTAGGGAGCTTTCCATGCACTGTGTCATATAATTAACTCTGATAATGAGCATTTATTGAATTTTTTTGAACATTTTTTGCCAACATAAAGGTGAAAGATATTTGTGATTGAAAATGGCTTAAACATGCTGTAATTGGATGAGTAACAAATCTAAAATATTTATTTCTCTTGAATCTATATGTGCTGTGACGTCATATGTAGACGAAAGTTGTGACGTCATTTTCGACTATTGAACTGCAGATTGAGATCTGGCGACCATCATTTTCGAAATCAGCGTGTTAAATAACATTAGAAAACTACGATCGCCAACTTTTACTAAGAAATGCCTCTTGGTGTACTATTTTCCGAAATTTCGTCCAGTCTATAGCGCAGGCGATTGTCTGGCACGGGTAATACCGAATATTCTCAATTGAGAACATATGGGTAATACCCGTTGAGGTGTATGCTAAACGGGTGGACCTTGTGTGCAATATTTATTTCTTTTACTTGTCTTAACGTCAGAGGAATTTACTCGTCATTGTGGAAGCTCTGCAGCTTAATGTGTTAACCAAAAAATCTGAAAATGTCTGTGGTTAATCCATTAAGCTGCAATGCGGCCCATCGCACCCTACTTATTTCTTTTACTTGTCTAACGCCAGACGATTTACTCGACGATGGGGAACCTCACAGGCGCTATGATATTCGTTTGTATATGTGAGAGTTACTGACCCTTACTGACCCTAGCTACCCCCAAGTTTATTTTTACTTCCGTTTCCCTGCACCGGGTATAGGATGGTGTCACTTGACGTCAAACTGTGAACACGTTCATGAGTGCGAAGGAAATTGTAAAAACTTTCAAGTTGAAATAACAGAAATATAAATAATTTATCGTTGTTTTCTTCAATCGTTTGATCATTTAACATCGGTAACATTCTGGCGATCCTGCCAGGACGCCACTCGGGTTGTTTCGCGCCGAATTGTGGCGTTCAAGAGCGGAAAATTCAACCCTCGAAATTCGCCTCGGCACTCGGCAATTGCCGACGCAAATGCCGAGGCAAGTTACAATTTTTCATAGTTTGCCTCGGCAAAAAAATGCCGAGGCAATTCCACCCGCTGTTCCTTAACTTACAAACTACAGTTTCTGTTCGTTTTTTTTCTTCTTAAATATACAAACTACAGTGTTCGTTTTTTGTATCACTTCTTTGTTCGAATTGTTGTCATCGACGTTGGGTGGACAACAGAAGATTTCATTCATAGCTACTTTACAAAATATTTAAATTTGAGCTTTTCATGCAGCGTCGGCTTCGGTTGAAATAAAAACAATCTTGATGGTTTAAAGACGGTACGTCGAGAAACTTTGTTTTATCTTTTAGACTGTGGCGTGATTTTACCGTCAAGTTTATTCTTTCATACAATTGGTTGTAAATTACCACTAACTTTTTAAAAACATTTTGAATCAGGAATTTGTAAAATAACAACAAATTGTCGAACGTCAGAAGTCTCAGAATCTACGCTCGTTACAATATTTGTTTACAATAATTTCCGTATGTACTTTACTTTAATTACAACTGCCGACGTGAATGCCGAAGTAATTGCCGAAGGAATTTAAGGTGATTTCATTGCGTGCCTCGGCAAAAAAAATTGCCGAGGCACTGCCGAGGCAAACTCGAAAATTATCGAAAGGCTTCGGCAATTATTTGCCGAGGCAAAAATAGTTGAATTTCGAGGGTTGAAAATTCCTGATTTGGGAGTGAATTGACGATCTGATATGGGCTTTTGATGATTTCCCAAGAGGTCAGTAAACGTAAAGGCCCTGTCACACTATTGCGTATGAGAGAAACGTATGAGAAGCGTATGAAAATTAATGAAATAATTTTCATACGCACAAAAATCCTTTGAAAAGCCAGCGTATGAGTACCGTACATCTGGAGTACCTCTAGCGTATTCAGCGTGCGCCTAGAGTATGCTTATCGTATAAGGCATACGTCCGATACGCACAAAATTTTTGAACATGCTTAAAAAAAAATTTCTGGCACGCCGTATGCCAGCGTATGTCACTGTATGCGACCGTGCTTGAAACGTATACAACCTACGCCTAACGTACCCATGGCGTATGTCAGTGTATACTCCGCGGGCGTATGAGTGATATTTTTCATACGCTGGCCTACGCTAGTATGATACACAATAGTGTGACAGGGCCTTATGCGACCGTGCTGCGTATGTCAGCGTATACCGGCGTATCAGTGATATTTTTCATACCTGGCATTCGTGGTCTTCGAGCGAAAGATGCCTCAGCAAAGTTAAAATTATCAACAATTAATTACACAAGGGCAACCATGTTAGTAGCGAAAGCGATGTATAGGTGCTTTGACCCTATACGCTTTCTTTGCTTGTTATTTTGTATCGACCCGAATGTGACAATTGACGTTTCTGTCTGACTTTGTTTTATTCTAACAAAAATATGAAAATACATAAAATACACTAAATATATACGTAAATTTACAAACAATTTACAGTTCTTACATGACAAAATGCTCACATAAAGGACAGAAATACATAATCAAACTTTAAATGTCTTACCGAATGTCGATAATCCCGTATTAAAGCTAGTTTTTTGCTATTTAAGTCCAAATATAATCCTTCGAAACAAAACAACAAAAACGTTTTATGTTCGTCGAAAACCCCGGATGTTCACCGGAAACTCGCTAAACTTCGATCACTGACCGGAAGTGTTGAGCTAGCCTCAACATAGTCCCCCCGTTGAAACGGTCGCTATGAAACGTTCAAATATATATATATAAGAGTTATGGTTCTACTGTTTAAAGTGCTTCCTCTAATAAGCACAACTTAGAAATTGGTCTCACCAAAGTCGATATCTTTGTCTTTACTTCTGCCGTACGTACCAAACCATCCGCTCCGAAGAAGACCTTGGTTACTCGTCCAAGATGCCAATGTCCTCGAGGCTGAGTTGTATCCACCAAAAGCACCAAATCATTCACTCTCAAATTTGGTTTCTTCGTCATCCACTTCTTTCTTTCTTGCAAAATGGGAAGATATTCACGAATCCACCGCGCCCAGAAGTGGTTGGCCAGAACTTGTCCTCTGCGCCACTGCTTTCGAGAATGGATTTCTGTGTCTTGAAATAAACCAGGAGGTACTGCGAGACCTTGCCGTTGTTGTAAGAAATGACTTGGCGTGATTGGTTCACAATCGTTCGGATCTTCGCTGCTTGGACAAAGAGGTCGGCTGTTGAGAATACCAGCTGCTTCTGCGAACACTGTACGCAGCGTCTCGCGCTTGACAAAGGCGTGCGGATGCCCAATAATGGCCTTCATGGTCTTGCGAACGCTTCTGATCAGTCTTTCCCACACTCCTGACATGTGGCTAGCAGTAGGAGGTTGAAAGTGCTACTTCTTCAATGGTTGTGAATGCCATTCTACTCCCCTTTCGTGCAAAGCTTCGATTATTGCCTTCTGATTCCATCCCT